GCCTTCCGTTTCTCTCCGCGATACGTTTTCCGCTCTTTTCACGATCGCGAATCCGATTAGGATAATATGAAAAAGAATTGGGTAACGCGTCCGATGTATTTATGCATCTCTAATTAAGATCGCTCGAAAAGGTATTGCTCTTTCAAGCGAGAGCGGGGGGGGGGGAGAGACCATTTCACTCCGCGGCGACGATTCACCGGCGGAGAAAGGACGAGTTTACGTGTTTGAAAGTGGAATCGATACGCCGGAATCGTTTCGGATCCTTATTTCCACGCGAGAAGAGCCGCATAAGAAATTTCCTCTTTTCGTAGCATGCAACCGGAGAATCCGGTCAATCCGTCGATAAAGTTCTCAAATAAAACGCGCTGCGAGAAACTCTCTGACGTTCGCTACGTTAAATGAAACTGATTTCCACGCCGGGGATAAAGGTGAGCTCGCGCGAAGTTTTGCGATGCAACGCGGCTTTGTCCGATCGCTCTCAAAATGATTTATCTGGTGTAAGAGCCATACACAGAAATGTGCCGCGTTACTTTTGATCGAATTTTATTCGGACGAGTGATATTTCATTCTCATTTTACCTAAATTGGATTCCCACGTATATTTGATATACTCGCGCGCAGGTAACGATACTTTGTTCTCGCATTCAAATTGATCAATTTTGCAGAAAACAATGGACGCGAAAGTCAAAAAAAGGGATAAAAAGCTTGGCGTCCGCGCATTTCGCGTCAGAAGGCAGGAGAGTTACGGATATAATAAGCACGAACGCTGCGAGACCGTCAATTGTGGAAAACGTGGACCAGTTAAAGCAATTAGCGTGGGACAGGACCGCCGCCCGCCGCCGCGGCCTCTAATTTTTTTTTACCGCTGAAAAACAGCTAACGGAATCCCTTCCGAGCTCTCGAAATTCGATTTCCTTGCGCGAAGCCGCACCGCACGGGCCGCAAAATGTTATTTCCGCATGGCATTCGCGCGGACCATCTGCGCGTTCCTATTTGAGTCGAATTCGCGTTTAATGAAAAAATACCTCGAACGCCTGCGCGAAGCTATATATCCCTGTATATAACAGCGATAAACAAAAAATACTTTACGGGATTTGCGAGCGAGAACGACGGCATATATATGGCGAAACGTTACAGGGAAATGTTACAGCGAGGCTGTTCCGCGAAAAATTCGACGAATTACACGAAATTTCAGTTGACATATGACATTTCCGTCGATTTATCACATATGAAATTTTTGCGAGGGTTTTCTTAAAACGATAGTCCTTGTAGAACAATGTAAATTACGATTAGCTAAGTCTGAAATCAATGAGGTGACAATACTAACAGTAAGGAATATTTTAAAATATAAGGCTATGCTTACACACACGCATTATGTTACATATATTACGCTTATATTATGCGTAACATACAAACGACCAATAAAATAATCAACATATGAATCGATATAAATTATCCTGAAAAATTTATGTTGACCGTTTCATTAATATTAATTAAAATGTTCCTAATGATTTGTATACACAAAGGATTTTTTAGATACAAACTAATTAAATTGCTATCGTTGTTTTGCCGCTTTTGATATCTACTTGCTATATAGTTTTTCGATTGATACCACTGCTAATAAAAGTTTTATAAGCTCAAACTCAATCAAATAATTGTGCTAATTACAATCGTACGTATTAATTAACTAAATTCTCTGCCACTGTATTTTGTATGATGTTTTTAGCACTCATTTTGCGCGCTCAAGTAATTTCTGCTGAATGAAGAAAACACGTAAAAAAAGTGCAGAACGATTTTATTTAGACTTCAATTTCAGTTTACCGTGACGCAAACTGAACCTAATATAGCGGTGCACGAGTATATAGACATATGAACTTACGTGTTTTATGATTTCTTTGTATTGTCCGGCAAAAATACGATCTTTGCTTTTATTTCAAATCGTCACGGGATTGAAGGTTCAATTTGTAATGAAATGTCATTTTAACGACGCAGATTATTAAAGTTTTAACAATTGGAGTTTCTGATGCTGAATCGAATAAAATCTTTGTTACTGTAATACGGCGAATTTGCCCGCAAGTCCATCTGATAACTAAATTTCTGATATAACTACATTTACTACATTAAAACATGAATTTATCCTTAGCAGAGATATAATAGGAGGAAAACAAGAATTCTATAAGATAAGAGAATTTCCACGCATTAGTTTCTACCAACAATGTGGTCCAGTAAAGCCACCGGTGCAGATTCCTCTTTGAATTGTTTATAATTAATGAGTCTCTCTCTTTTTCTCTCTTTCTCTCCTTTTCTCTCTCTCTCTCTCTCTCTCTCTCTCTCTCTTTCACTTGATGGCTAACATTAAACGCACGCTAGAATGTTTCTCTGTCCCACTAACACGTCACTCGAGTAGTTACATGCAGCCGACGAGAAACCGGGTTATTGAGTTCGTTCCAGTTTTTGGCGCACTAAACGGACTAAACGGACCGTGGATTCGGATGAGCTCATTTTCACCGCACACGTATGCGTGCTTTATTCACAGACACAAGGTAAGAAACAAAGGGCCGAAGCAAAGATCTCACCGAGCGTAAAAACCAGAGGGCAATTCCTCGGGCTACTCGCGCCTTTCGACGGTAAATAACCGTCGAAGGTATCGACGCCGATCGTAAAAGCGTGCGAACATACGAGCAAAGTACGCGATACCTTTAAATCGCGCGAAGCTGAGATAGAGGATGGATGTTGGGGATTATTGATAGATAACTCAACTTTCAGGTTAACCGTTAAGTTAACAGACAACTTCCCAGCCGCGAAGTCTGAAACCGTTGTTAATCTCACATGAGAGACGTATTATTTCAAAAAATAAAATAAAAGAAGAAAAACGTGAGATGATCGCTAAGTGACGACCTATATAAATAATGTAATTAATCTAATTAAGACCGGTTTAATAAATAATGTAATTAATTTATAATTACATAGTCGCCATCGTTATGTTGTACAACAAATTGTATTAATTTATCTTACCCGGAAGCGTAAATTTCAATGTGTGGTCAATCATTAAAACCACTGCTATTCTATTCTCATACATATTCAAGTTGAAATAAAATAAATTTATAAAATACCACGCATGCAATTATATATCTCAATGCCATAATTCAAAATTAATAAATGTAGCCGATTAACTTTTTTATTAGCTTTTCTAGAATTCTTTGAAAAGCTCTTTTTTCGTTTTGCCACAGCATGGCAAGGTTTTAAGAGCGATTTATTACTTTTTCTTCGTACTTTCAAGTTCTGGCCGTGAGATCGACGTGGCATAAATCGCGAAATAGTGCCGGCCGGAATAATAAAAATTATCGAACAGCTATCACGACGGTTGATAGAGAGGAGAGAAAATTGGTAGCGAAGAGGGAGCGAGTGCTTGCCTCTGAACATTAATTAATCATTCGCGGAGAGCGGTCGAGTTACTCGAGTCTGATGAATTATCGCCACCTGAGGAACCTGCCTCGGCGATATACGACCCGCCGCGCCGTATCTGCCTACAATAATTCTCTTTATTCAAGCGCGCCGCAGGATAAATTCGCTAACGATGTTCGCGTGGCGTTATTAACGTGGAATATCGCGACGCGCGAAGAGCAAATGTTTAATCCGCGTGTCAGCGCGACGAGTCTTTTTGGCCGACTTTTTGAAAGCACGGGACCCGCATTTTCTTACAGAGGAAATATGGGCGATTACTTAATATGATAATGAGAAACCCTACATGGCATGAGCATGAACACAAAACGCTCGTCGAGTATGCTAGTGCACGATATGCGAATGTTATTACGAGATCTGTACTTCACAGCTTATATTTACTTGATATGGTTTGATTTAGCGTCTATGAATAATATGTATAATTGTGGTCACAGTCGATACTAAATTAAAAAAATAAGTTTTCTTTTTAATTTTTAGACATAATTGTACACGTAACACATGTGAGATATAATTTAAAGAAGCGATTCATGCAATTTAAATAAAAATATGTCGATATCATATTTTTATCTTCTTAAAAATAACGTGGCTGATGCTAAAAGACAAGACCTCGGGGTCAAAAATAATAAATGCATAGGTAGATGCAAAGATGTGTGCACGAAAAATACGTGTGAAAAAATTTAATCTAAAAAATGTCCCGGGGAAGATAACAAACGCGTGGAAAAATCTCGCACCTCCATTTGCGTTATTAAGCATGATAGAAAATGAGAAAGGTAGTATAGACAGCGCCTGTAATAATATCGTGGTGCAAAATTCGAACTGTGCGGAATAGAGCTCGTATATAGACATATCGATATGTCATAACACCTGCTACCACAATGTGCAATTATCGACATCGCGAAGCACAATTCTCTCAGCACTGTGCTTTGTGGAAGATCGAGGGAATAAAGACCGAATAATACTTGAACGAAATGCGAAATGCCAGATGCTATAATTCGCGCTCGATAACGTATCGATACACGATAATCGAGACGTGACTGCGGTCGCTTTAATAATTCACTGAAAACGTAAATATTAACATGCATCTATACATAATGTATTTGTTATTTTATGAAATAACATAAACTGCCATTAATCTTCAAATTAATACCAGAATATCTATAGAATAATAATTTGTATTATTATCTCATCGGATTGTTCTATTGTGTCAACTTATAAATAAAAAAGAAAAATATTGATATATTTTTATCTTCTAAAAAAATATATTTTTCATACAATTCGCAGCATCGATATTGCTCGCAATTATTTTTACCGAAATGCGGACTTCACAAGTCCGTTAGAGAGCACTGAACGATCTAAAAGACGATCTCGTGTATTCTGGTATTAATGCCGCACATCTGATCTTGTTTCTCTCTTCTTTGATAGACACGCTCACTAACGTCACCCTTTCTCTCTGATTCCACGGCCGCGTGCACATCGGCAAGAGGGAAAATGCAATAGGCATGCGACCGAGCTTCCTACCGCGAGCGATTTTTCACGTACATTGTTGCCCTCGAAGATCCCGGTCAGCATGATAGTCGTCGCCAGCTGAAACGTGTCACGTGCCAGGCTCGAACGTGTGGTTTTCCCTGCCCGCGTCCAGAAGATGGGGACCCTCGAGTTTTTCACTGAGTGCTCCGTTTCACAACAGCTCGTCGTTGAGTCGCGGGGGAAAAAAACGAGGAGAAAGAGCGGACGAGAGGGCGATCGGAAGAGCCGCGGGGGTGTGTGTGTGCGTGCTTCCGATCGTGCGTGATCACTCTGGCGAACCACGTTAGGATAGAACGCGAGCAGGTTGACACCTTCAGGGAGGAGATCGCGCGCAGAACTGACACCTCACGCGCGCGGTCCAGCTACCCTCAGCATCCAACGGTGGCGGCGGTGGCGGCGGCGGTGGTGGCGGCAGTCGAGGGGGATGAAGCCGAGCACGCGCGAAATTCCGCCCCCTTTTCCCTCCCGGTTCGCCCCTTCTCTCTCTCACCGATGGGCCGCAGCCACCCATCCGCCCATCCGCTGCCTCTCCTCCTCGTCGCTTTCACCCATCGCGACCCTCCTCTCCTCGGTCAACCTCTGTCGTTGCCGCTAGCACTCCACGCTCTTCGTTTCGTGCTGAATTCGCGCCATCGTCCACGAAATTTGACTTCACCCTTTACTGCCTGCTGGTGTCTGTACAAATCCCTTCGTCCCAAAAGTAGAAAACTACTGACACGCGTATTACTTTTTTTCCTTTGTAAGTAGGACACGGTAATTTAAATGTGCAAATGTGTTTCAATGGTAAAAAGCAACTCTTCTTGAAAGAATTATTGTAACTCACAATCAGTCTTTATTACAGTAAACATGGTTTTTTTGTTAATATTAACATTTACGATATAGGAAAACTATTTTAAAACTTTCTGCAAATTTATATAAGCGTTTTATTTAAATATAATATATTTTTAATATTTTATGTATTTAAATATAGATACTTTTTTCATTAAAGAAGTAATATAGTCAAAGAGAAAGAGAGAGAGAGAGAGAGAAAGAAACAAAGATTTTTAAATAACAAGAAAAACGGAATTGTGGCAATGTCTTCGAGCATTATGTTACATAATTATTTCACACGAGCGATTCTGGGTTTTTAAGCTTCTTCCATGTCCGCTCCATTTAGTTGTCTACCTGTCGACTCTATTCCGCTTTAATTAGCAAACTGTAGATCTACAGAGTTTGAGAAAGGCAAAATTAAAGAGAGGAAGAATTATTATATTTTTCTTCGCTACGCGATTATTTGCAAAATTTGGCCGCTTTTATGATAATTATTACTGCAGCATGATATATTTTTCGCAGAGAATAATTTCAATAATGAATACTTGTACTAAATGTGCAATCAGTGTCTGATTAATTATTAAAGATTAATGCATTATAGTGAGAATTTTTGATATAATTTTTTCAACATTATACTGCAGAGTGAGAGAAAATTATTTAAATTCTCATCTTTTTTGTTATAGCGTGAGCTATTATCTGCCGGAGTACTCGACATTTATTACAACCTCTTTGCTATTGTCCAGAACGAGCACGCAAACTGCCCAAGCGAGCAAATTCTGCGCCAAGTAATTATATCGCACAATTGCATGAATATTGCACTTCGGGAGAAAAAGTAATTGCTCCGAGTTTTTTTCGCTGGACAAAATTTAATTTCCACCACAAGCTGTTTAACGTGCTTTGTCTTATAAGTTTCTAATCTCGTAAATTAAAAGAAAGATGTAAGTTTTTCACGCAATTACGATTGTATTAACCGGTAGTAATGGTAAAATAGTTTTTCATAATTTTGTTATTCAAAAAATGTTGGATAATATTTATATATTTCAAGAAATATTTCTGAATCACAAATTAATACCGATTTTAATTCAACATATCGCGTTGTTGCAAAAATATGATCCGCCTATAACTCTCTGCGCTGAAGTTGATCTCCACCTTGAACATCTGGCCGTCGCACCAAGGTGGCTGTATGGGCTCGAACACGCGCGAAATTTTACCCCTGCTCACCCCCTTCTCAACGAGAACAGCCCCTTTACGGCCCTATTTCGTCCGAGCGAGCGCCTCGCACCTACAAAGGGGCGTCGAGGGCTGAAACCCTCCCTAATAATTATCAGGCAATGGAGGCCATATTGCGCGAGCCGATGACCCAGCGGTATAGAATATTCAAGCGACACCGGCGCGCGTAAACCAGACCACCTCAGAATCTAATTAAAATATGCAGCGGGAAAGACGTAACGTTAACTCGCCGCCGTAAAACATATAGAGCGACGGAACGTAAAATTTTTAATTTTAAACAGACTTGAAAAAACGACGCAAACGTTTAAACCCGCATCGCGGTGGTCTTATGCGTTATTTCCTTTTATCTATAGTTTCTTCTTGGAAAAAGATTAAATACAAAAATGGATATTTTTAAATAACCATTTCACTGAATATTTTTAGTTTCTAGTTTCTGCTTTGGAAAGTAAAGAAACTTTTTCGAGATACTACGACTTCGCGCAGCCCTCCGAGAGTTAAGGACCGTTTCAATGGAATCGGAGGCTGCGAAATCCAGCCCGAGTGATTTCGTCCTCGTCATACGTATCAGATGGCTCGCTCGCATGCGCACGGGCGTAGGTGTGTCGCTCTGTAATTAACCGGGCGCTGCCGACCTACAATAATTACCCGGTAACGCCGGCGGGGGATGAAGGACCGAGCGCGCGTTGCGTTGCGACCGATAACCCCGGCGCCCGAGATTATTTAAACGCGCAATCGCGAGTGTGTCAGTTTCGATTATGTTTCCGCAACGCTACGAGGCGACGAATAAAGCCCGACCGCGCGTCACTCCGATCGCAATTTAACGAGCTCGCGAAACTCTTTGTCACCCTTATCATCTCTCTCTCCCTATTGTCGTGTCCGCGTATCCGTTTACGTGATTGTAAAAACATTTAATATTACCGGCGATAAAAAACACACAGCGTGTACCTGATCCGGTGCGGGATCGTAATATCGTTACGCTTCGAAGGGCGTAAACAATTGTAATAATCCTTCGGAGTCTAATACGGGATGCGTTCGTGCGCCGAACTTTCTCCATAAAGCGAGCCTCGTAAATCCCTTACCGGCTCTATTCGGAACGGCTACTTCATATTACTGTGGGATTCGACCGGCGACACGTTTTCGGGATTTCGGTATTCTTCGGACAACAGCAGGATCTCGCATCAGCGAGAAACGCCGGCAATTAACGCGGCCGGGAAATATTAAAAACGTCATTAACACGCGCGGTAATTGCGCGGACGCGAACGCCGCGACGCGCGTGTCCGCCCATCGCGATCCGCTTCTCCCTCGCGAGCTTTTAATAGCTCTTTTCCGCGGTGCAATTTATAATTTCTCTCCGCGAATGTCAATACGGCGAAATTATTACGGGATAAAGTCTATTTGCGTGATGCTAATAAGCGATGTTAAACATTACAGTCAAATCAAGCTCTCTCTTTGCGTGCCGCGCGCGGCCGGAGGAATGCTACATCGATCCCGTAAATTTCCACCCCGCGGGTTTTTATGACGATTCGAACTCGCATTTTGCACAGCGAAATTTGTTGCGTGCATCATATTTTCCTCTTATAATCGTAAAACTTTGATTTAAAGTTTTTTTTTTTCAAAATGAACAAACTGAAATATTTGGTATGTGCAATTAAAATGGAATAATCTACGTGCACGTGTGTATGCGAACTCAATGGTGGAAGCTAAAATGTGGCCGGTGCAAAATCCTGTCAGATTAATGTTGATTGAGACCGAAATTGGCCGGGCTAATAACGCATTCGCGATACGTCATTAGTCCATTCAAGCACGAGCAATTTTAGCATTATGTTTCCTCCGCGAGTAATAAATAAAGTTGTGCAATTTCGATACGCAAGTAATGCAGAGGCAGAAAAAAATTGGGAATTGCCTTTGTGAATTGCATCATATTAATGTATTCGTAGAAAAACGTAAAATAAGACTGATATATCTAGAATGTAACATAAAAATGATCAGTGCAACATTTTCATCTTTGTTATAAATTAGGCAACATTTTTCTTATTTTATTTAATTCTATCCAGTGGTTGCTCATAAGTTCTTAATTAGACAATCAATGCTGTTTTGTATGCCTATATAATCTTTTATCCGCGTTCATATTTCGCAAATCTAGATAATGATCTAAAAATAATCGCAGGCTGATTGAGTTTCGGATGTCTCTTGCTTCTGAAAATTGCCGAGGAGAATAAGACGCTCGCGAACGACGACGGTAGAAATCCGCGCGAGTATCGATGCGAAAACAATGAACATCGAGAAAATCCGGGGGATCGAATCAGCAAGCGAGTCTCCGAGGGCCGCGAGATTAAAATGCATCCGTTCGGCCACGGAATCGCGTCTGTCTGCGTCTGCAAAGTGGAAGCGAAGGTTCCAGCAATTATCGCGGAATTCAACCGATCGTTACCCGTTTCCCTCCGGAGGACCGAGTCCGATTGTCTGAAACGGACCGGATGCGGAAAGAGGGGAAAAAAACACGGGGAAAAAGGCAGGGAGATAGAAGGAGAGATAAAGATGGCGATATCGCGCGAACGGGAGAGGAGAGCAAAAGAAGCGATTCCGACGGTTACCCGCAACGGAGACACCTAGAAACCGTCGACGGCAGGGTGGTGAGGGTGGACGAGATAGAGAAAAGCGTCAAAAGGAATAAAACGAGAGCAAAGACGGAGATGCAGATAAAAAGGCTGATGTCTTTAAAGCATAAGCTCTCGCCATGCGCAACGTCTTTTGCACGAAGCAGGAAATGTATAACTTGTTTTATACATTTTCAATGCATTTGCACGGCATACAGAATAGGAAAAGGTATATACACAATTCATAAACAATTGTAGTAATCATATTTTACCTAACTCCAGACAGACGTGTTATATAATATACGTATATGTGACACGTAATTTCTTCATAGCGATATGTTTGTTTTACCAATAGAGACTCGTCTAAAATATTTTTAACAAGACATTAAGCAAGTGCCGACTTGAGTTTTCCCTCATCGAATATCAAAGCTACGGCACGTTTCTGCGATAAATTATTTTCACGAGTTTCAATAACAATTAATCGCACAAAGCGCGCGACGTGATCATTCGAAATGGTATAGTTGCTCGATCCAGCCATTCTCTTACTATCCAATTACACAATGTAATTGGAGGCTTGACCGGAGGCGATCGCAGTAGCGTTGTTTCCGCGCAAAGTTACATAGTTCATGCAGTTTACTCGCGGAAGCTACGAGCGGTGGGCTTCCTTTGTAGCACTTCCGCCAGTAAT